CTGCCATTATCAGCTAATTATGAACTAAGCCTCAGTTTTCTCATTTATAAAACGGTGTGTTTTGCATGTCTAAGATGATAATTATATAATGTTTCTTTATAAAGTTATTTTAAGGGTTGCGGTGCCTGGGTGGTGTGGTCGGGTAAGCGTCGGGCTCTTGGTTTCAGCTCAGGTTGTTATCTCAGGGTCATGGGATCAAACTGCGCTGCGCACCCTCCCCTCCGGCTGCGCACCCTCCCCTCCGGCTCCACACTCAGTGGGAAGTCGGGCTTGGGCTTCTCTCTACCTCTCCCTCTACCCCTCCTCACATGCTCTCACACACACATTCTCTCTCTCTCAAATAAATACTTTTTAAAGTTATTTTAAGGGTTAAATGAGATTATGTATTCAAAGGGTGTGGCACACAGAATGCATTTAAACTATGATTACTGTTATCAAGGGAAATGTTACGTGCCTTTCAGGGCACCTGGGTGGCTCAGTTGTTTAAGTGTCCGACTCTTGATTTCAGCTCAGGTCTTGATCTCAGGGTCATGAGTTCAAGCCCTAAAAAATTAAAAAAAAAATAAAAAATAGGGGTACCTGGGTGGCACAGTCGGTTAAGTGTCTGACTCTTGGTTTCTACTCACGTCGTGATTGCAGGGTTGTAAGATTGAGCCCCGCATCCAGCTCCACACTCAGTACAGAGTCTGCTTAAGATTCTCACCCTCTCTCTCTGTCTCTTATGAATAAATAAATAAAATCTTTAAAAAAAAAAAAAGATTCTCACCCTCTCCCTCTGCCACTCCCCTCCTCTAAAATAAATAAATAAATAAATCTTTTTTAAAAAATAAAGAAAAAAGAATGTTACATTCCTTACTAGATTCTGAGTTTAGTTCTCTTGCAATTAAAATAAAATTCCTCATAGGATTCTAATTCTTTGGAAGATAGAGGATCTGCCTCTACAACACCTGCTCTTCTACAAACTAGAAAAAAGGAGGAATGCTTAGAGCAGTGTATTGTCCTGACAGAAGAGACCTTGAATAAAATGCCAAAAATTTGCTAGGCCCCCCACATGACTATAGTTGTATTTTTAGGACAAAAGCCTCTATGAGTTTAGAAACAGTTTTAATTGACTTAAAAGTATATATATATATATATATATTTTTTTTTTAAAGATTTTATTTATTTGACAGAGACACAGCGAGTGAGGGAACACAAGCAGGGGGAGTGGGAGAGGGAGAAGCAGGCTTCCCGCGGAGCATGGAGACACGCGGGGCTCGATCCCAGGACACTGGGATCAGGGCCCGAGCAGAAGGCAGACGCTTAATGACTGAGCCACCAAGGCGCCCCGACTTAAAAGTATATTAATCCCAACAACATCAACAAACATTTGGCCAACAGGAGTATATACTTTTGAGACATGTTATATATTCTGGCCACAGGCTGGGCTCCCTTCACGAGTAACATGGAGTCCCTGCAACACCGCAGTTCCCTAGGAATCTAGAGCCCATGGTTTAGAAACCACCAGTCAAGCACAAATGTCTAAAGCTTGACTCTGGAAAAGAATCATTTAAGAGTTTATTAAAAATCTTAGGCCTCACCCCCCAGAGATTCGGACTGAGTAAATCAGGGATAGAGACCAGGAATATGAATTTTCCATAACTCCCCAAGTGCTGACAGTGAGTCCAGCAGAGCATATACTGCTCTAGGAATTAGCATTCCTGACTAGCTCCTCCTCTCTCTTCTGAGGATCTCATTCCAATCACCTTTTCTTTGTTCCTCACAGTTCAGGGCTTCTTCCCCCCACACCCTCACCCCCCTTTACAAGAGAAGGATTTATTTGCTCCTAAAACTAGGACTTCTTTAACTGGAGTTTTGTGCTGACATCACAAAACAATGTGTAGGAAAATCTCTGAGAGTCCAACAGGATGACTAACTTTCTTTAAAGAGCAACAACGTATCTTTGTTTTTTGAGGACTTAAATTTGACACTAAAAATACCTTCACATCCATTTTAACTAATTCAGAGGCAACCTGTGTTCACAAATGAAGGATACAGAGATTATAGTCAAGTGGTCTGGCTTGAAAATTGGCTCTGTGATGTAAACACCTCAGTAGTACTTTAAGCTATTACTGAAGAGAGAAAAAAATTATTAGGCTAATAGCCAACAGAAAAGCCAACATAGAAAATGTTGATAAAATTAGAAAATAGCATAAGAAGGAACCACAAAGCTAGAGGAAAGAGCCCATCTTCACCACCAGCTTGCCCCATCCAGAATATTCCCCCAGAGCCTCCCAGCTTCCTACACATTGGAAGGAACTGGGGGTAGGGTGCCAGGATAAGTCCCTTTTTCCTATCCTTTATTATCTTCAGTGCCCTCAAGTGCCTCTTCAATTTCTTGGGAATGTAAGCGCTTAGTTTACAAGGTCAAAAGACCATGGAACATTTTCCAAAAATTAAATCAATTGAAAAATGAAAAGTGTTGTTTTAATATTCTCTTCTGCTATTAAGTCAGTCACTCTCTCTCTCTCTCATTTCTCTCTCCTCCTTTCATTTTCTCGCTCTTTCTCTCCCTCTCTCTCTCTCCTTCCCCTCCCCTCTCCACTTCATCACACACAGAAACCCCTTTTCAAAGGGGCTTTTTTCCAACTCAGTGAAGTAAAGTCTTTGCCCCTTTGTGGGGAAGGCTCATTAACATTCCCACAGCAGCATCTCTTCAAGGATTTTACTTTTGTAACTCTGTGGGGAGGTCAAGAGGCCACAGTGGAGAGGTAAAAGGAAAAAAATGGTAAATGGGGGAGGGCGGAAGAAAGGAGAGGAGGGGAAAGAGCCCTTCCTTTCACAATAAGGCCAGCAAGAAGAAGGGAGGAAAAAAAATAGGAAAAGACAAGACAGACAAGACCCAGGAAGGACATGAATTTTGGACTCCCAAATCTGCCCTCGGACATCAGAGACTCTTGAGAAAAGCAGAAAGCTATATTCTTTCTCTTGTTTCTTTTCCTCAAAAAGGAAGTAAATGATGGAAACAGTGGGCTGAGAGAGACAGGACCCAGTCTATTCCACTGAGAAATTAGAAGCTTCCCTGGCTTCAGTGTTCTCATTTCCCCCACAACAGCGTGGTGATAACTGCACCTGTCTGGCACAGAGAAGTTAACAGGATGAATTAGACAATGTCAGCAAGAGTTCCAAGGGTGGAACATGAGGGAGCCACCCAGGGTCCTGACCCTGAAGGATGGGGAAAATAATGGAGATTCAGTGAACTCCAAAGCAAAGATCAGAGTGCTTCCCAAACCCCTTCAGATGTGTGTACCTGCCTTGTTTCTCACCAGCAACCCTCCGACCATCTGTTGTCTCTCTCTCCCTTTCTTAATATTGTCACACCAGCCTGGATCCGGGTCAGGGAAGAAACCAAGGGAACTTCCAGTTTGCACCGAACGCTGTGAGTGAACTTTGTTTTATTCTTCTCTGAAGACACAGCCATCAGGTATTTACAGCCCTGAGCTCCAAAGGGAAAAGAATTTCCACTTTCCTAACTGATGGTGTCTCAGATACTCTCTCATCTCAGCCAGGAGAGTACAAGGTAAATAAGTCCAGGAGAAGAGGACTCATGCATCACAGTGAGGAGATAGGGCACATCTGGTTATTCTACGCTCAGGAGCGCAGTATGGCCAGAAGTTAAAGAACAATAAATGAATCACCCTTCATGTGCAGGCTGAGCAGGAGAGAACTGGTTTGTGGCCAAAAGATGTATTTTAGAGATGGAGACATTTTTAAAGGTCAAATATGATAGCCACAAGGAAATTCCTTCCACAGAATCCCTGACATTTGTTTTCAGCCTCTGCGAGAACTTATTACAGAGAGCTCACCCATTCACCGGAGAGTCCATTACACTGTTAGAAAGTTCCTTCATATTGAGCTGGAAGTGCCTCCTTGGAGCTTCCAGTCTGAAGTCCCACAGAATCATCTACATCATCTTCTCAGAGCTGGCATACCTTCAGCCCCAGGAGCTGGAGAAGAGCCGGAGAAACAGAAAAGCCAGGAAATCTGTTGCTATTTTAACTGGGATTCCTTAAGATCAATCACTTTTTTTTTCATGCTAGGAGCCTGGTGGCATACTGGACCTTTAACAATACAGAGGGGAAAAATGTTAGCCTGCGGTCAGATGGACCTGTCTGTATTACATCAGAGCTATGCAACCTTGGATAGGTTACTTAACCTCACTGATCCTTTTGCTTACCTATAAAGAGAATCATCTATAAATAGGAGTAGTCAAACCTGCTGTGCTAATCTTAGAGTTGTAATGCTCAAAATATGTCACGTACATGAAAATATCCTATATATTATGGAGAGCTCTCTATATATTAAGTTTTACTGTAATGACTGTCCATCTTCATCTTTTTGCCAGCCTTTCATATCCCCATTTTCAACTGGCGGAAGCTGACTTCCTGGCCTCATAATCAGGATATACGGGAAAGTTCTTATTTCAGCTTTATACCCCAGACACAGTCGCGTCATCAAACAAGGTGGCATAGAATCGTGAGAGAACCCAAAAGCACTGTGAGGACCTTGGATGAAGAGTTAGAGAAATAAGCAGGGACATTTTCTGAACAGACAGCACAGGGAGAGGCCGGAGCCCGGGCAGTGAGGAGAGGGTTAAATCCTTCCCCTCTGCAGTACAAAAGAAAAGAGTGTGCGGAAAGATTAGGATTTTTGCTTTTACAATGGGAGCTGCAGAAGCCTAGGGAAGAAGCTGAAGAAAAAAAAGGGGGCGTCTCCCCTTTAAAGACTTGCAGAGATTGAGAGAGAAAGAGAGAGAGAGAGAGAGTCAGGGACAGAGAATCAGAGAGAGCGCGGGCCAGTCTGTCTGTCTGTTTCTGGGAAGGGAGAACGTCTCTGCTTCACAGTGATTAGCACTGGGGGAGAGGCATCCGTTGGCTTCAGACCCAAGGAGAGACCAGACCAGGTCACCCCGGTTAGGACTCAGTGAGCTTTGCCCCTCCCTACCCCACCTCCACCCGGGAATGTCTCGGCGAAAGCAGCGGAAACCCCAACAGTTAATCTCGGACTGCGAAGGTCCCAGCGCGTCTGAGAACGGTGGGTGCCTGGGGAGGGGTGCGGGAGCCCTGAGTCCCAGCCCGTGTGGGTCAGGCCAGGGCAAGGGAGGGCACCTGGGCCACGGGTAAAGCCAGGGGAGGACTTGGTCAATTGGGGGTGTGAAGGCATTGGATGCAGGGAGTAGTAAGGCGTTGACCTGTGCTGGGGAGAAGCCCCCGCTTGGCTTTCCTTAGGATTGATTCTGTTTGTGTTTTCCTTGTTTTTCTCCGAATGAAATGGAGTTTTCAAACTGGCTCTGTCTCCCCACCCAAGAGTTTTCTCCTCAGGTCCCCCTTTGCTCACTGGTCTTTGTGCCGTTGCTAAGTAACCTCCTCAGACCTGGAGGCCGTCTCTTAGGGGTGGGATTTTCCCCCCTTTTCTTTCTGGAGAGTTGGGTTGCAAGAGAATGAATTGGATAAACGTGAAGGTTCCCCTGAGGGAGAAGAGAAAAAAGTTTCTCATTGTTGGGCTGAACTGAGAACAGATCAGAGCTCCCAGAGGGAGAGAGCTAATGTCGGTCAGATGCCGCCTGGTTTGGGGTGTGGAGCCATGTCACCTGGGGTAGAGACCGGAGGGCTTAGGTTTGTGCTTCAAGGGAGGCCAAGCTAAAAACAAAACAAAACAAGTATGAGTCAACATACTTGCATCTTTTTTTAAAGTAACAGATTTTCTGGGGACCCTGGCTGGCTCAGTCTAAAGAACATGCAGTGCTTGCTCTTGAGGTCGTGAGTTCGAGTTCCACATTGAGTGTAGCAATTACTTAAAAAGAATTCAATAAACTTAAAAAAAATAAAGGAACAGATTTTCTCTATGAAGGGGGGGTTACTTCATGTATCCTTAGAACAGTCCAGGACGTGGTGGATAGTGGAGCAACGAGGGTATTGAAAAGTGACATTGCCCAAAGTCTCAGAAACAGTGAGAGGCACTGTCAGGACCAAAACCTAGCTTTCCTGAGGCTCAGGGCTGGTGGTGCTCACTCTGCTACATTAGGGTTTTTCAAACTTGCTTGATTGTGGATCCGGCCTAGAGTCTGGGAATCTCTATCTTTGCAAGGGATCAGGTAGTTCTAGGATCAGGCAAGTTTTGGACATACTGCTATGGCTATATATATTCATGCTGTGAAAGTCTGGAAGTCCTGCCTCGGGGATAAGCTATTTAGCAAACAGTTGATTCACCCGACAGTGTAGTGTAGTACTAAGAACAAAGGTTCTGAAGCCAGACTTTCAGGATTCAAATCCTGGTTCCACCACTTGGTCAGCTGTGCAACCTTGGTTTACTTTGCCTCTCTGTGCGGTTTCCTCATCTGTAAAACACTACCTACCTCCTTAGGTTATTGTGAGAATCAGAATGAGTTAATATGTGTAAAGCACTTGGAAAAATAAATAGTATAAATAAGTGTTCAATATATGTGGTATGGTCCCTAACAGAAATAAGTACTTAATATGTGTGCGTATTGTTATTATATACGAGGACATTGGCACTTCCTGCAAGGGCTGAAATATGTCCAAAGCTCAGGAACCTCTTGGCAAACTTTAGTATTTCTCTAGGAGACGTGTGCTATGAAAAGCTCTAGCTAGGATACTGTATTTGTAGTGACTAAAATGACGTTATGATTCAACTTACCTTTCCACCTGTTGTAAAAAAAAAAAAATGACCTGAGATTAAATCAGTGCTCCATGTGCTAAGGAACAGCCTTAACAGTCATACTGTATTTTGGATAGAACACATTCTCCTCCAGTCACTGCCTTGCTGGGATCCCACTGTGCCCATATTTAGAGGTTCATGGTGGTGGCATCCTTCGCTCCTGGGACACATTCGCCCTCCTTAATGCTGCTGCAGGCCGGATGTTTCTTCCTCAGGCTCTACAGGAGACTTTCCGTTGCTTCACAGTCCTGCTCCCCTGCTGGCTGGATTGTGGAACAATGCCGAAACACCCCCTGCCTCCAACTGCCTCCCCAAAAAACAACCTCTCCTCTCCTGTTCTCTCCCCACACCTCGCAAGTCTGCTCACCCACAGCCCACACCACTGCTGATGAAGAGCCTGTGAGGGAGTCAAAAGAAATTTTTCACCACTGCCCCAAGTGGATTCTTAAGCCCCTTGAGCTGTAGCTCCCACTTGGGGCCGCGAACACAGCGGGGCATGGGGATGCTGCTACAGAGTCATCCCCGTAGAAACAGTGCAGGCTCCAATCCAATGGCGGCAACACATTTGAGCTGGAATTTTTGCCTTTGAGCCATAGAAGTCAGAAACGTAAATGAGAGGAGCAAGAAGGCAGCAGTAACTTCTTAAGGCCTGCTTTAAGAAAGCTGAAGGGTTTTCTGATCAGAATTCTCCTGAGAGAATTCTGAGAGAAAGATCCTGTGCTACTTGCATGACCCGAAGTGTCACTGGGTCACATCTGGAGATGAGGTGGCTGTATCTGATCAAATCTAAAATTCTTTCCTGCTCTTACAAGATAGATAGATTTCCCACTCCCTCCTTTTCCATTGGTAGAGTTCTTATTTGCTTATGTGATCTTCAGAGCCCTGACTTCTTTCTACCACAGAAGACATTTTCTTGTTCTGCATGTGCCCAGATTAGGTGGGGAGGGACTCTATGTTCATCCTCTGGTGTCCCTGTGAAACTATGGGCATCCCTCAGGAATATCAGCAGACATTTATTTAGCAGGTGAGGGTGTCTCCAAGGTTTTCAGGAGTCCTTGCCTTCTTTTAAGCAATGTTTACCATATGTGACAAGCAAATGCTAAGCCTTTGTTGCACATTTATAAGCCTCATCTCTGCGGTGACCTAAGATGTCACCAAGAAACAGTCTGAAAAAACCTGTTTTCTAGCCCTGTTTTTGTTCACCTTCCCTGACCAGAACACCAAAAACCTAACAGAATAGTTATTGCACATAAGTGATGAGAAGGAAATAGTATATTTACTTAAAAACTCTGGAGAGAGAAAAAATTTTCTCTCTCCCCTAGAGTCTAGAAATCTGGATTAGAGAACATAAGGGATGTGACTAGGGAAAATGTAAACTCATACATCTGGGAAATAAAGGAAACAATCAGAAACCCAGATATTTAGTGAGAAGGAGAAACCAGGACAACAGCCAAACAGATCTAGAGGGAGAAATGGGAACTGGCAGACATCAAGAGCAGCAAAAGGAGAAGGAAGGCAAAAAGAGAGTTTTGAGGGCTCTGTCTTCATATCTGGAAGTAGAGAACATAATCCCTCAGGGTATGGAGCCCAAGCGTTTCAGCCCTTAGGAACCCTGGGTCAAAAAGAAAATATCTCTGTGTAGATAGAAAGTAACTCAGGTGGGGTGCGATATAGAGCACTGGATCAGGAAGCAGAAAACCTGGTTTTTATTTTATTTATTTATTTATTTGTTTGTTTTTAAAGATTTTATTTATTTGACAGGGAGAGACACAGCGAGAGAGGGAACACAAGCAGGGGGAGGGGGAGAGGGAGAAGGAGGCTTCCCGTGGAGCAGGGACGCGGGGCTCGATCCCAGGACCCTGGGATCATGACCTGAGCCGAAGGCAGACGCTTAAGGACTGAGCCACCCAGACGCCCTGAAAACCTGGTTTTTAATCCAGCTTGGACTTTGAAGCTAGGTGACCTTGGGTGGGGCCATTCTTCTTCCAGGGCTTCAGTGTTTGGCCTTTATTTTTTTATTTTTATTTATTTATTTATTTATTTATTTATTTTTAAAGATTTTATTCATTCATTTGACAGGGAGAGAGAGAGAGAGCACAAGCAGAGGGAGTGGCAGACAGAGGGAGAGGGAGCAGGCTCCCTGCTGAGTAGAGAACCCAATGTGGGGCTAGATCCCAGGACCCCAGGATCACGACCTGAGCCACCCAGGTGCCCCTATTTTTATATTTTTAAAGATTTTATTTATTGGGGCACCTGGGTAGCTCAGTCGTTAAGCACCTGCCTTCAGCTCAGGTCATGATCCCAGGGTCCTGGGATCGAGCCCCACATAAGGCTCCCTGCTCTGTGGGGAGCCTGTTTCTCCCTCTCCCACTCCCCCTGCTTGTGTTCCCTCTCTCACTGTGTCTCTCCCTGTCAAATAAATAAATAAAATCTTTTTTTAAAAAAAAGAGATCGAGTCCCACATTTTTTTAAAAAAAGATTTTATTTATTTATTTATTTATTTGAGAGAGCGAGCATGAGCGGGGTGAGGGGCAGAGGGAGAAGAAGAAGCAGACTCCCCACTGAACAGGGAGCCCGAGGCGGGGCTCAATCCCAGGACCCCGAGATCATGACCTGAGCTCAAGTCAGACACTTAATCGACTGAGCCCCCCAGGTGCCCCAGCATTTGGCCTTTAAATAATACACTCCTCAGTAATATTTGTGGAGCATTTACTATCTGTCAGGTACTATGCTAGGCCCTGTATGCATTTCCTTTTGTTTATTCCTCCCAACTCCACTATTATTACTTCCATTAAAATTTTTTTAAAGATTTTATTTATTGGAGCGCCTGGGTGGCTCAGTCGTTGGGCGTCTGCCTTCAGCTCAGGTCATGATCTCAGGGTCCTGGTATCGAGCCCCGCATCGGGCTCCCTGCTCAGCGGGGAGTCTGCTTCTCCCTCTCCCACTCCCCCTGCTTGTGTTCCCTCTCTCACTGTCAATCTCTCTGTCAAATAAATAAATAAAATCTTTAAAAAAAAGGTTTTATTTATTTGTCAGAGAGAGAGAGAGCGCGCAAGAGCACACAAGCAGGGGGAGCAGCAGAGGGAGAGGGAGAAGCAGACTCCCCGCTGAGCAAGGAGCCCAATGTGGGACTAGATCCCAGGACTCTAACCGACTGAGTCACCCAGGCATCCCCCCATTAAAATTTTTTTGAATGTGTAGTAAAACATACATAGCAAAAGTTACCATTTTAACCATCTTTAAGCATATAACTCAGTGACATTCAGTATAGTCACAGTGTTATGTAACCATTACCAATATCCATCTCTAGAACTCTTCATCCTGCAAAACTGAAACCCTATACCCATTTTTTTTTT